TAATCCCCCCATATGGGGTAGATCCACATATACATCTGTAACTAAGTCTGCCTTCAGGGATCCAACTGTGGATTGATGATGTGAGTAAACTACTTTTATATATCTTAAATAAGACTGTGGCGTGTTTATTATTTTAAGAGGGGAAATACGGGATCTTACCAGGAATCTATATTGAGAAGCTTAAACAAGCTTGCAACCAGCTACCCATTGTGTGTTTAAAAGGGGAATGTTAAAACTCTGCTAAGTTATAGAACTTGCTAGCGGAAGTTAGGAAAAATATTAATAAACAATATATCCTCTCCTGCCTCCCTGAACATTCCCACACCTCCCTCCCTCCCGGCTAACACGTGAACAGGAACAAGAGTAAAGAAAGCAACAGACATCCAGAATGAATTAAGTTCGTATCTAGAGGTACCACTGTACAGTACATTGATTATTGCTTTCATTTTATGGACCAATGGTCTCGTTAGATAGTAAACTTCATTTTAAATTGCTATTTTAGGGATTGTTTTTAAGAGTCTGGAATGGATTAATCCGATTTGCATTACTTTCTATGGGAAAGCGCACCTTGGTTTTGGAATGCTTTGGTTTTGGAATGGACTTCTGGAATGGATTAATTTTGAGAACCAAGGTACCACAGTACTGCAATGTCCAGATCAAGTGATGTAGTTGTTGTTTAGTCGTTTAGTCGTGTCCAACTCTTCGTGACCCCATGGACCAGAGCACGCCAGGCACTCCTGTCTTCCACTGCCTCCCACAGTTTGGTCAAACTCATGTTAGTAGCTTCGAGAACACTATCCAACCATCTCGTCCTCTGTCGTCCCCTTCTCCTTGTGCCCTCCATCTTTCCCAACATCAGGGTCTTTTCCAGGGAGTCTTCTCTTCTCATGAGGTGGCCAAAGTATTGGAGCCTCAGCTTCAGGATCTGTCCTTCCAGTGAGCACTCAGGGCTGATTTCCTTCAGAATGGATAGGTTTGATCTTCTTGCAGTCCATGGGACTCTCAAGATTCTCCTCCAGCACCATAATTCAAAAGCAATCCTGCTCTATTCAGCCTTGGCCAGACCACACCCAGAGTATTGTGTCCTGTTCTGGGCATGACCGCTTAAGACAGCTGTTTCAAAGCAGAGGTTGCATAGCTGTGGTTCCTGCATTGAAGGGGTTGGGCTAGATGATGCTTGGGATCATTCCCAACTCTATAATTCTATGATTATATGTGGGGAAAAGGCATCAGGGTGGAGCCCTTCCATTGCCCTAAACGCCACCCCCACCCCCCGCATCGCAACACTCAGTTATATTTTGCGGCAATTCGTGGACCTAAAAGCCATAAAATGTGAAGTAGCCCTAAGTGAATCATGGTTTCACAGATTCTGGCAAGGATAGGGTTGCCTTCAATACAGAACATTTCACTAAGCCAGAAAAAGCCTAGTCAAATGTATTGGTGAGAACAATAAACTCATCTGTCTGCACCAATCCAAAAAATACATGAATCATGTATTCCCTTGTGTAAGTGTTTTTTAGATAATTGTCTCATCCACCAATGACAACAAAAATAACTGCTAGTGATTCACTGTATAGCTTTCTTCATGTTCTTTTCAAGCAGAAAACATAACTTTAAAGAAAGTTTAGGGGGGAGGAATCCAAGCAAACAACTCACACAAAAACACACCATAAGCACGACAAAGACCTTACTAAAATAGAGAGTAAAATCACAGTTTTAGTCAAATATATATACAGCAAGGATGCCATTCAAGAGGTCCATAATTTTGTTGCAACACTCCCCCCTCAAATTTAAATCTAAACTCATCCAGTATCAAACATTCTCCCCCCTCCCAGCCCCCAATTTATTTCAGTGGCAATTTTATTGCGGCATTCTGCTAAATCAACTCTATTCCCATGGCATGTTAGTAGTAGTACATTACCGTTTCCAAATCTGGATATTAGAATACAATTTCCTGCTGCACTCTTGCTGATAGGAGTATAGCATCTAGATCAAGGGAAGTAATAGTGCCACTGTATTCTGCTCTGGTCAGACCTCACCTGGAGTACTGTGTCCAGTTCCGGGCACCACAGTTCAAGAAGGACACTGACAAACTGGAACGTGTCCAGAGGAGGGCAACCAAAATGGTCAAAGGCCTGGAAACGATGCCTTATGAGGAACGGCTAAGGGAGCTGGGCATGTTTAGCCTGGAGAAGAGGAGGTTAAGGGGTGATATGATAGCCATGTTCAAATATATAAAAGGATGTCACATAGAGGAGGGAGAAAGGTTGTTTTCTGCTGCTCCAGAGAAGTGGACACGGAGCAATGGATCCAAACTACAAGAAAGAAGATTCCACCTAAACATTAGGAAGAACTTCCTGACAGTAAGAGCTGTTTGACAGTGGAATTTGCTGCCAAGGAGTGTGGTGGAGTCTCCTTCTTTGGAGGTCTTTAAGCAGAGGCTTGACAACCATATGTCAGGAGTGCTCTGATGGTGTTTCCTGCTTGGCAGGTGGTTGGACTCGATGGCCCTTGTGGTCTCTTCCAACTCTATGATTCTATGATTCTATGATTAAGGAACTGACTCCTCTAACCACTGCTTTGGAGGTGAACCGGAAACAGTCTAAACTGTCTTGTTTTCAGAAAAGCAAAACTGGTATACATCTGAACAATATGTCAGGTCCAAGGGGTAGGTTCACCTCTTTTCCATGCTCATGTCTTCCTCATTGCCTAATCTCCACCACTGCCCCAAATGTGAACACAATGCAATTGTACTTTTTATTCCTCTCCTCTAGGAGAAATGTCCTAGCTCAGTGGTAGAACATCCGCTTTGCAGGAAGAAAGTATCTGGTTCCAGTGGAGGCTGGAGCCCATGGGTGAAAAGCAAGGAGGGCAATATACAATAGATACAGGTCTGCCTTCAGATGTCTTGTAAATGTTGTGTAGTTCTTTATCTTCTTGACATCTGAAGGGAGGGTGTTCCACTACCAAGAAGACCCTCTGTCTGGTTCCCTGTAACTTTGCTTCTTGCAGTGAGGGAACCAGCAGAAGACCCTCAGAGGACCCTGGGTGGTGGGGGTGGAGACACTTCTTGAGATATACTCTGCCAAGGCCATTTAGGGCTTTAAAGGTCAGCACCAACACTTTGAATTGTGCTTGGAAACGTACTGGGAGCCAGTGAAGATCCTTTAGGACCAGTGGTATATGGTCCCAGCGACCACTCCCAGTCATCACTCTAGCTGCCACTTTCTGGATTAGTTGTGGTTTCCAAGTCACCTTCAAATGTAGCCCCACATAGAGCACATTGCAGGAGTCCTAGCGGGAGATAACCAGAGCATGCACCACTCTGGCGAGACAGTCTGCCAGAGCTAAAGAGGCAGAGCCAATTAACTCTACCTTTGTTCCCATCAACCTCCTCTTTCTCCTCCCTGCTTTTACAAAGGCATCACTGGCACTAAGGAGGAGGACTGGTTGTAATGAAGAAACGAAAGTGGCAGCTATGGAGCAGCCCACACTGCCTGGTTCAGTCACTGGCATCGTCTGTAGGGCTGAAACATCCTTGGTCTGAAACACCAGAGAACTGTTGCCTGTCCAAGTGGTTATTACTTACCTATGGTCTGACCAGGGATAAGGCACCTTTCTATCTTCTTTTCTCCACCTCCTCAGTCTTTTGCTTCTCCTTACTCTTTGCCATTGATCATGGATTTGGAGAGTGCAGGTGAAGAGGAAGACACATAAGGGAGGAAGAGGCGAGCAAGAATCTTCTGATGAGCAGAAGTGGGAACCCTGGGTGGGGAATGGACTCTGGCAGGTGCCCAATGACGTACGCATACATGAACATGGCTGCAGGTGGGTCAATCGAATAGGCCAAATTTACAGGAGGAGGAGAAAGAAGAAGAAGAAGAAGAAGAAGAAGAAGAAGAAGAAGAAGAAGAAGATAGAAGAAGATACAAGATAGAAGAAGAAGAAGGAGAAGAAGAAGAAGAAGAAGATACAAGATAGAAGAAGAAGAAGAAGAAGAAGAAGAAGAAGAAGAAGATACAAGATAGAAGAAGATACAAGATAGAAGAAGAAGAAGAAGAAGAAGAAGAAGAAGATACAAGATAGAAGAAGAAGAAGAAGAAGAAGAAGAAGAAGAAGAAGAAAGAAGAAGAAGATAGAAGAAGATACAAGATAGAAGAAGAAGAAGAAGAAGAAGAAGAAGAAGAAGAAGAAGAAGATAGAAGAATATACAAGATAGAAGAAGAAGAAGAAGAAGATACAAGATAGAAGAAGAAGAAGAAGAAGAAGAAGAAGAAGAAGAAGAAGAAGGGGGAGGAAGAAGATAGAAGAAGATACAAGAGAAGAAGAAGAAGAAGAAGAAGAAGAAGAAGAAGAAGAAGAAGAAGAAGAAGATAGAAGAAGATAGAAGAAGAAGAAGAAGATAGAAGAAGATAGAAGAAGAAGAAGAAGATAGAAGAATATACAAGAAAGAAGAAGAAGAAGAAGAAGAAGAAGGAGGAGGAGGAGGAAGAAGATAGAAGAAGATACAAGAGAAGAAGAAGAAGAAGATAGAAGAAGATAGAAGAAGATAGAAGAAGATAGAAGAAGAAGAAGAAAGAAGAAGATAGAAGAAGATACAAGAGAAGAAGAAGAAGAAGAAAGAAGATAGAAGAAGATACAAGAGAAGAAGAAGAAGAAGAAGAAGAAGAAGAAGAAGAAGAAGAAGAAGAAGAAGACAAAGAAGAAGAAGAAGACGAAGAAGAAGAAGAAGACGAAGAAGAAGAAGAAGAAGAAGAAGACGAAGAAGAAGACGAAGAAGAAGACAAAGAAGAAGAAAGAAGAAAGAAGAAGATAGAAGAAGAAGATAGAAGGAAGAAGAAGAAGAAGAAAGAAGAAGATAGAAGAAGAAGAAAGAAGAAGATAGAAGAAGAAGAAGAAGAAGAAGAAGAAGAAGAAGAAGAAGAAGAAGAAGAAGACAGGAAGCTGCCCCATATTGTATGGAAGCAACTTTACTAACAGGAATCATCTCTAGTACTACATGGAGATGCCAGGAATCAAACTTGGGACAGTCTGCTTGCAAAGCATATGCTCTATTGTTGAGCTACAACTCCACCTCACAGCTGTTCACAGTAATACAGAACATGGCCTATTTTGCCATGCAAACACCACAAAAGAGTACAGGAGAATATGTTATTGATTCCATTAATTCATTAAATTCCATTAATTATTTTTTAAAAAAACAAGCTTGAAAATCTAAAACAAGCCTGCAATCTCCAACTACTATGTAACCTGCCTCTTATCTTGCGAAACAGCACATTGGCTTTGGGTCTCCACCTTCCAGATGAGTCGTGCAACCAGCTGCCTGGTGTATCTTTCAATCTAGATCCCCAAGTTTAGCAGCTTTATGGGCTGAACTGTTATCTCTGGGTTTCTGTTGTTGTTGTTGTACTCTTCTGAAAAAAAAGAAGAAAATAAATCAGAACAGGGTGTAAACAAAACACACATTTGTACACATCAATGTGGAAATGGTCTCTCTCTCTCTCTCTCTCTCTCTCTCTCTCTCTCTCTCTCATATTTGCAAATGCACACCTAAGAAATCATTATACGAAATGGCCAAGGCGAATCGAGGAAAATAATTATTGCAGTTGATGGAGCAGAAACCCCATTACAGCTAAATTCTACTTCACAATACACAGTCCTGCCAGTTCAGAAGTAAATGCATTTTTCAGCTTCTGTAACACACTTTATTAAATTAAGTTTTAAAATGCTTCACTCCCTCCTCCCTTTCCTTCTATCTCTTCCTGAGGATTGTGGTCATTTATATATATATATATATATATATATATATATATATATATATATATATATAATAACATAAAAAATAACGCTTTCTCATGATTTTGTGTTGCAATTAATTTCAAACTGGATAAATGTTAGTCACGTTAAGCCAAGCCATTGCAAATGGCCTTTGCCTGAAATAATGTGATTTCCCACACAGTGGGACCCCTTGTAGAGAAGTTTCAATTTTAGGGATATGAAAAACTTGTTCCTTCCTCACTACCATGCACCTACTTTTCCATCGCATGGTCTTGTACAGACAAACTCTTGGATATTATGATTTTACAAATTGTAACCCCCACACACTTCAGAATATAGTGGAATTAGAGGACATTCACAGATTTCTGGGGGAACAAAATGGCGACTGAGAGAAGATGGCTTTTGGAATCACCTCTCCTAGTGTCCTTACTATAGAGACTAGAGAAACACGAGAAATAAAAGAACGGGAATGATGATGATAATTGGGTTTTTAAAAAATAATAATAAAAAGGTTTATTGATTTTTGTTGTTGGCATCTGTCTCGGGAGACAATGGAAGAGTGCGCCTTTGGGAGAAAAGTCAAACCATTGGAGAGTCACAGCGCCCATTGGCCTATCAGGGCTGTAGAGACTGACACAGGAGAGACATGTTTTGTTGCAGGTGGGGCAGATGAAGCCGTCTGGTTTTGCTGCTACAGGTGCACCATGGTGTTTCTTCTCTGTGCTCCTCCCAGTGGCCGTTCCTTTTTTGGTCACTGCTGTGGATACACAACATGACTGTTTGTCTCGCAGCACTGAAATTGTATGCAAGGGGATAATGTTGCCAGCCTTCATGTCACTTTTGCAGACATCTTTGCAACACAGAGTTTTTCTGCCAACGGGCCTAGTACCTGAAGCCAGTTCCCCATATATACCATCTTTGGGGACCCTGCCATCTTTCACCAAGACAGTGTAAAACACCAAGAAGTGTGAACTTGATTGTATCAAACACACTACAACCATCAAGAAACAATGTGGGTCTGCCAAGCTGAAGCCAAAAACAGAACCCAAAAGTTCTCCATTCATTTTTGTTGCTTTGTTCCGTGCTCTGGGGTTGAAAATATTCAAAGAGGAATATAAATAAATAAAATATAAGCAAATGGATAAAGTTTTCCACCCTTGCTTTGAACAATCCAATGATTTTTCACGTATATGCAATATATAAATCTTATTTAGAACGTTGTGTACAATTATGGTCACCTCACCTCAAAAAGGATATTGTAGAGCTGGGAATGGGTTCAGAAAAAGGCAACTAAAATGATCAAGGAGCTAGAGCAGCAATTCTATGAGGAAAGGATGCAGCATTTGAGAATTTTCTGTTTAGAGAAAAGGCAAGTAAGGGTGACATGATAGAAGGATGCAAAATTTTGTGTGGCATGGAGAAAGTTGGAAGATTTGGGACAGACAAAAGAAAGCATTGGTTCACACTGCTCATAGTTAAACTATGGAACTCAACTGCAAAAGAACCAGTGATGGCCACCAACTTGGGTGGCTTTCAAAGATGATTAGACAAATTCATGGAGAAGTCTATTGATGTCAGGCTTCAGGGAATCAGCGTCCTTCCCCCGTGGCAGGAGATATGAATTAAAAAAGATCAAAGAAAGGAACATCTTATCAATTAGAAACTTTAATAATCACAGCGAGAGAACAAGGAACACATCTCCTAGAAAGGGCAGTGCTCCCAATTAAGGACAACACCCTCATCCATCCATATCAATCTACATCACTCCTACGTCTTGTAATCTGATTTTATAACCACTGCGCTTTCAGCCAGTGTGGTGTAGTGGTTAAGAGCAGTAGTCTCGTAATCTGGTGAACCAGGTTTGCGTCTCCGCTCCTCCACATGCAGCTGCTGGGTGACCTTGGGCTAGTCACACTTCTCTGAAGTCTCTCAGCCTCACTCACCTCACAGAGTGTTTGTTGTGGGGGAGGAAGGGAAAGGAGAATATTAGCCGCTTTGAGATTCCTTAGGGTAGTGATAAAGCGGGATATCAAATTCAAACCACTACTACTACTACAACTCTTCTTCTTCCTCTTCTTCAACTTTCTGAGTTCTTCGTGACTTTGGGGAGATCGGTGGAATGCTGACCAACGACTGTGAATCTGTTAACCCTCTCTCTTCCAGTGTTTCTTCTGCTAGCTGTTCCCCATCCAGTATTTCCCAGCTTTTGCCTTCTGAACTATGCCCCTCCACAAACCATTGTTCCAAATATATACTGTCCTCCTGCTCCTGGGAAGATTCAGGAGCAGGAGCAGGGGGAGTGGTGGCTCCCACCATTCCTCCTCAGTGCAACCCTCCTCACCACAGTCCCTGACAATTGATGGCTACTAGCCATGAAAGCTATGCTGTACCTCCACAGTTGGGGACTGGAACGCTTGTAAATAACAGTTGCTGGAAGCCACAGGAGGTGAAAGTGGGCTTATGCTCAAATCCTGCTTCTGAGCTTTCCATTGGGGCATCTGGTTGGCCACTGTGAGATCAGGATGCTGGTCTAGATGGGCCATTGGCCTGACTCACCAGTCTCTTCTCATAGTCTTATATACTCTTCAAAAGGGAAATATATATCTTTTTGTTGTTGTTAAAGTCATCATCCTTTACTCAAATGATTCTTTAGAAGGGAAATAAAAAGGGGGATGTGGCAGAATTATCTTTCGCCTTGATTAGAAGGGATCTATTTATACAGATGCCTTTCTAAATTATGAATTCAATCACCAACCCAAAGATAAAGGTTGTGTTAGAAAGGCCTGTGTTGATTTAATATCTGAGGATGAGACTTTGAGTCAAAAGCCTGAATTACATTAGAAGTACTGGGTTTCAAGCTGCAAGGCTTTGAAACTAAATAGTACAGCAAATAAATCTGATAATGCATTTTAAAACTGAGATGGGGGAAAGGGGAGGGGGAGAGGAAGGGAGGGGTGCTTAGATAAACGCTATCTATCCATGAAAGAATCATCCAAGTATTTTCGATCAAAACTGCAGCCTCTTTCAAAGGAATTGCATCAAGGAACTTTACTCTTTCAGGGTTAAATGAATAATTTTGCTCTCCTTCAGGATGATAAATGAGCTAGGCCCATCCTCTTTTTTTTCTTTTTTTGAGGGGGAAAAAAGAATGAAAAACCTTCCCACAGTGAACAAGGGACATGTTCATCTTTGTTGGGATCAGAACTGAGTTGCAAAACCTGAACTGCTTTCCCCAAAATTAATAACCTAGTTGCAGCCCTGTTTTGAACCTTGTCATGCCCCTGATCTCAGTAGGAACAGAAGAAGCTTCCATTGCATGGGCAGCTTTCAACTCATCCATGTACCTGACTCCCCACCTTCAATTCCCACGCCTAAACTTACCCCACAAGGCACGTAACTTTGCTGTTACTACAACAAAGTCAGCAATGGCAGAGGAAGAGAAGAGGGTGTTCCTTATCACCTCCCCTTTCTGCTACCTGGTTCTCGCTGCATGTTAATCACTAGGAATACTGTACTTTCCCAAGTGCTACTGTCATGGCTTCCTAATGTTGTAAAATGTAAAGGTAAAGGATCCCTGGACAGTTAAGTCCAGTCAAAGGTGACTAAGGGGTTCAGTGCTTATCTTGCATTTCAGGCTGAAGGAGCAGGTGTTTGTCCACAGCTTTCCAGGTCATGTGGCCAGCAGGACTAAACCGCTTCTGAAGCAATGGAACACCGTGACGGAAACCAGAGCGCACAGAAACGCCGTTTACCTTCCCGCCACAGCGGTACCTATTTATCTACTTGCACTGGCATGCTTTTGAACTGCTAGGCTGACAGGAACTGGGACAGAGCAATGGGAGCTCACCACCATCGTGCATATCCGAACCACAGACTTTCTGATCAGCAAGTCCAGGAGGCTCAGTGGTTTAGACCACAGTGTCACCCATGTTCCTAACGTTAAAAGAAAGAGGAAAAAAACAAAACTATGGGTGTTTTTCAATAACTGCATCTGATCACTGCCAGGATTTCTTCTTGTGCAATGGGTTTCCCTGCCTTCTCTTCTGCTTCCTGCGCCCTCCCCGGATCTTCTCCAGATGGTTGAGAGAAGCACTTTAATAGATGTGGTGGGCAAATGCAGGGGGAGGAAAGAAGAGAAAGATTGTTCTGTTGCATAAGGAGAAATCATTGTGTTGACTGAACAAGAGACAGTTAGGGACTTGGATGACTGTAGAAGAGGACTGGGCAAATTCATGGAGGATAAAGCTATCAATGTCTACTTCCCAAGTTGGCTATGTACTGTGTCCATGAATAA